TCAGCTTTGCTTGGAGTGGCTGATTACGAGCGCAAGCATTGGGTTCCTGCCAAGGTTGTCGAACGAATGTTCGCTATTATGGAGGAAAACATTTCGAAGCAGAGCAACTGGACTAAGCGCGACCGCAAGCCTTGATGAACTTAGCCGCCAATGGGCTGAGTATCATGATGAACGGGCTTCACGCACCGACAACTTGCGCCATTTTGCTCTGAATCGTCTTTGGCTGTGGTGTTCTCCTGTTAAAGGACTTTTCCCGACTCACACCATGTTGGAGCCGTCTATGCCCATTTACTCTCTGGAAAGGAAATTACGCAGGTGCCGAAGACTGCTGACTGGTGCGCTGAGGCTTTGGAGCTGGATTGACAAGAGCCGTGGCGCGTCGGTTGGCTCAATTGCCGCGAGAAGCACCCTTATAACACAGCGTTCGTTCCCTGCAACTCAATGGTTCCGCTGTTCCTTCCGAGAGGGTCTACCATGGAGACTGTTGCACCAGCTATAATACCTGACTCGTCGGTCAATCCTGCAGACATTGACCCTTCCTGGAATATCGCTTTCCGTGGAGATCTTGAGGAAGAAGAAGAAGAAGAGGAAGGTCAAGTTACTGCCGAGGGGTAATCTTCGTTGGCGTCCGCTCTCCCCGGATCTCCGGCTCTTTCATCTGCATCCAACGAAACTATGGATTTGGGTCAAGGTTCTGACGCTGATACCCCACCGGATGGAGCTCGCGGTGCTGAGATGCTAGCACAACTTTATCCTGGTGAGACGGTGGAGCTGTAGTTCTCCTGTTTTGCCAAGCTACTCATCTTCCGATTTTTTCAAGTTACTGCCGAGGGTGAATCTTCGTTGGCGTCCGCTCTCCCTGGATCTCCGGCTCTTTCAACTGCATCCAACGAAACTATGGATTTGGGTCAAGGTTCTGACGCTGATACCCCACTGGATGGAGCTCGTGGTGCTGATATGCTAGCACATCTAGGTCGTTCATAGTGACTACTTCAACTTGTCCTCATCAGCGACTTGGACCATTTGGAGCCGATTTTCGCTCCTTTTATTTCGTAAGTAATCGTACAAGAGACCACCATAAGAGAGATTCGCTGCTGGTTCTCACGTCGTTTCTTCATAGCCAATCCACTTGACTTCAAACTCCCGCACTGGTCGATCAGTGCTCGTTGACATCGGCGTTAGCACCGCCTCACCGCCAGGTCGTTCATAGTGATTACTTCAACTAGTCTTCATCAGCGACTTGGACCATTTGGAGTCGATTTTCGCTCCTTTTATTTCGTAAGTAATCGTACAAGAGACCACCACAAGAGCGATTCGCTGCTGGTTCCCACGTCGTTTCTTCATAACCAATCCACTTGACTTCAAACTCCTGCACCGGCCGATCAGTACTCGTTGACATCGGAGTTCGGTCTTGACAATCGCTTCGACTTCGAATTCGCCAGCAACCGTGTCTGGTTCCCAGCTGTCTTCAGGTAATAGTTCTTCGTCGAAATCCAGTCGCGTATCCTCAGTAATATCTTGCGCTAGTCGAGTCTTAGGTCGATCACAAAACTCATTCACAGCCTTCAGTCGCGACATGGGTAGAATCGGTATCCACTCTTGTCTGGCAATTCCAGCTCATATGCAAACTCTTCCACCTTGCGTTTAACACGGAACGGTCCATGTCACCTATGGGCAACTTTCTTAACCAATCCTGGTTTGACCCGCTCCATATAAAGCCATACTCTGTTCCCTGCTTGGAACAAAGACTGTGGGGTTGAATTATCGTCACCCGAGTTGTCGGTGTTCTCCTGCGGGCAAGCCGCTTGCTCCTTACGGCTGAGCTTTTCGTTGTGTTCTCGTGCCCGTCTTGCTTTCTCAGTGGCTTGGTATTCTTTAGCCATTTCGAGCGCCATTTGTTGTTGGCGGTTAATTTCACGTCTCCAGGCCAATGCTTCTGACTGTTTACCAATACCACGCTTCAGCGAGGTCGTCATGGCACGTAAAGTTGTATGAGCATCCCAGCCGTGCACTAGGTAAAAATGGAGTTTCTTTTCTCGTCATGTCATGCGAGCTATTGGTAGCAAATACAAGTCGTCCTGCGATTTCGTCCCAGTCTTGTTGTAGTGGGTCTTCAACATAGACTTTCACTGACTGCATGACTGTCTTCACTGAGCGCTCTTGTTGACCATTTGCTTGTGGACGATAGCTCAATGTAGATCGTGACCTTGCCTGAATCAATTCAGCAAATGCTTGAAACACTTCGCTCATGAGGCGAGGCGTCATGGCGTATCAACGAAGGTGCACCGAATCTTCGGTACATGCATTCTTCAAAGACAGTAGCCACCGTTAGCGCATCAGTGTCTGACATTGCGTTAGCAATGACGAACCCAGTGAACGAGCACTGCCAGAGTAGTAGGGCTGTATTGCCTCGACGAGACTTCGGCAGCGGAATAACGAAATCCATTGATACTACTTGGAATGGTCGTTCTGCTAGCACGTTACCAGGTGAGTAGCCTTTGAGCTGCGGTGCGCTCTTGCTCGAGCTACAGTCAAGGCACGACTTCACATGTTTTTCCACATCTGCATACAGTCCAATTCAGTAGTAGTCATTTTTTACCCTCTGATACGATCGAACGACTCCTTCATGTCCTCGTTCAATAGAGTCATGACAATTCTTCAGCCATTCTTGGATCATAGTTGTCGGTACTACAAGTTTCAACGATAACTCTGGTTGGTCATCTTCCGACTTACGTCGAGTTGGGCCCACATAGTAGAGTATGTTATCGCTGGATAGGACAAACTTGTTAGACCAATTCCACGCATCTCGGGCTTCTTTATAGCTCAATTTCGTAGTTTCGCCTCTGAGGATGGCTTTAAGCATCGACTATCTCAGTTCTTCATCCTGTGCTTTAGAAATTCGTCGGCGTCGCTCTTCCTGTATTGTTACAGGGTCGATATCGTCGGCATTTGGCGAGTGTTGTGCCTCGGCATTCGTCCGCTGTGGCTCTGCCTGTGAGTTGTCGGTTATTGCTTCAGCCTCAGTCCCGGCCTCTACTGCACTGTCTTCCAGGTCATCCTCGAAATGGACTCTCTTGCTCTTCTTCCGAGCTTGGCTTCGAGTCATAACTGCGATTCGTGGCACGAAATCGGTGAATGTCTTGCTTTGTACGGCAATCTCACTTCTTGGAACGCTAGCTTGTCGTATTATACTATGCGCAATTGGAACGAAATTCTCAGACTCACTCTTCATGACCTTGTTTTCATCCGAAGACGACTCGTAGATCATTTCTTGAATTCTGTTAAGTCTTTTAACTCCGACTTCCGGTGGTCGTTGAGCACCACCTTTGACACCTTCGACTCCAGTGCTTCTCCAGCAAGCGAGTCAGCAGCTGCATTGTATTCACGAACCACATGCAGGTATCGAACTGACTTCAGCTTGGCTGTTAGTTCTCGGTGTCGGTTCAACAGTGCGACCAACGAATCCTTCCGACATGCGATCACCCCTAGTGATTGCCGGATTGCCAACCTTGAATCGCCAACTAGAACTAGATGTTCAGCTCCGTGTTCTGGTGCAGCAAGCACTCCGTAGTTAATCCCATTGTTCTCAGCCATATTCACCGTATTGACCTCAAGGTAGGCACTCGCAGCGATCACTATATGCCATTCAGGGGATTTCCACACTATCCAGGAACAGCTCCCGTATCCACCGTTCTTTTCGGTCTTCGCCGAGCCGTCGAAGGAAACTACAAGTCCATCGTAATCGTGTGGTAATTGCGCATACAGTAGACTGGGGTCCATTCGAGTGCTCGGGGATTCCTTAGTCGGTGGGGCCACCAGCGCTAGCGACTCGTCTAGGTCCACAAAGTTAGTAATCATCGACTGGGGTAATTACGAGAATAAACAGTCCTTCTCTCTTATACTTTGAACTTCCAGCAGCCAGGGAGACAGTAGCTCTGCAAACTGCACAGCGCGACCAAACAAGGACTTTGACTTGTGCACACACGCCAGTGTGGAGTATCTTGTATACACATGCAACGTCTTCCCAGCCAATTGAGTGTAGCACACTTTCAGTAATAGGAGTAACGCGAGTACTTCCTTTTCTGCCAAATGATAGTTCATTTCGGCATCTTTGAGAACTCGTCCACAGAACCGAACTGGGTGCAATTTGTCGTCATGCATCTGCATGAGGGTTGCACTCAACGCCCACTCGTTTGCATATAACATGACGGTGCACCTCCTTCTTGTCGTCAAAATGGGTGCCTCAACTACGTTTCGCTGAAGCATGCGAAAACTTTCTTTCGCCGCCGACAAATTACTCTCTGTTTCGAAATCGTCGTCCTTGAGCTGGTACAGCGCCGCGCCGAAGACCGCAAAGTCCTGGATAAAGCGACTGTAATAGTTCAGTGCTCCAAGGAATTGCTGCATGCCTCGTTCCGTCTTGGGAAACGATAGCTCGGTAATCGCCACCATCTTTTTGCCATCTGCTTTAATCCCTTCCGGTGATATTTCATGAGACAGGAAATCTACCTTCGACTGGCAAAAGATGCTCTTGGTGAAGCTTACACTTATCCGGCATTCCTCAAATCGGTTCAACAACTTGTCCAAGGCATTCAGACAATCGTCAAATGTAGTTCCGCCGAAACAGATATCGTCCACAAATGATCGCCGTTGGAATACAGGCATCAACGTCGACTCATCAGGTTCATTTGTCGTGAACATGTCGGCTGCAGGATCATTCACTAGTCGTAATACTGGATCCAGCTCCAATGTTGACTCACGATCAGCATCGAACTTGGTACGACTA